AATAATAATAATAATAATAATAACAATATTAATAATAATAATAATAATAATAATAATAATAATAATAATAATAAATATTATTTTTATTATAATTTTGTTATTAATATTATTGTTTTCTTTCGCATTACGTCCCAGAACCACGACATGAATATGAGGTGTGCCGAAGTAGAAGTCGGTAGATATATAGAGTTCCAGGGTTTCGTTAACGTGACATTGAATCTAAGTACACGGGCCTCTATGGCCTCGTGACGAGAGGCGCCGCCAGCTATGCGTTCACTGTCGCTAACCCACCCGAAATCCGTAGAATGGGCAATAACAAAAATACGAGGTAAAAAAAAACAATACTGTAGCAAAATATAAAGAAGCATAAAAAAGGGTCATATCAGAAAGCGAAGAAATATAAAGGCAACTCACTCTGTCTTGCCAGATGGGGGCGCTTGTTTGTCCGTTCATGCTGTGGGGAAGCTAAGAAAACAATGGAACATGTTCTGATTGAATGCGGGGACAATTGACCAGGTATACATGTGAGTAGAAGCCTACATGAGACTTTAAATTTTAGGGACAAACATGGCAAGCTGAACACGTTCGCGACAGAAGCAAGTAAGAGCCGGTTAGAGTATTAGTGGCACAAATGTAGAGATAGAGGACAGAAATAGCGGGAAAATGAAGCCATTCTGCCTGAAGAGGCAGAAAGATGGAACATAAACTTACATTTTTCTTTGTTACATTAAGACCGACTCATCCGAAGTAGATAATGCATTAGGCCAACATAAAAACAAAGTTTTCATTTTTTTGTAACCCTGGTGGCACTAAGTCACCGCCCTGTTGTAAAGGGGACGCTCATAGCATCCATCCATCCACCTGTTCAGTTTACTCACATTGCACAGAGTGGAACAGGTCTTAAGTTTTTTTCAGTGTATGTGGAGTGTGCTCGAGGTTGCCCAAAGGTCTCTTTAGCGCGGCTACATTTTCGGCAACGTGGTAGAGTCTCCGTAGGCTATGCTGCGTTCGTTCCTTCGACAACAACGTCTCCTCCCTCGTGTTAGAGTTGTCATCTATGGCTAGAGAATACACCATTTTGATTTTTGCACGATGAAAGTAGAGGTGAGAAACGAAACCAGCAGTGGTAGATAAAACAGTGCTAATAATGCACCTATCAAATGCAAACTACGATAAAGTTGGATTGATTCAGCGGTAAAGTGATGCATGTCAGGGAATCTCTGTATACCTCATTCTGCAATTGTACTGCCATGCAAGCGCAGCGCTGGCCGTCTTTCTTTCCTCTCTTCCCATTCCCCACTCCATTTGCTGCTGCCAGTCGTGGTCTCTTTACTACACCTTTACTACAAAGAGGGTACACAAATATTGAAGTGCGCTTGAACGTCGCTTTCAGGAGCAGATCGTGGTAGCGCAATCGGGACTGGCGCACATCTTGTTCTGTACCGCTATAGCCCGCTTCAGTTCTCAGTGGATGCCCCGATCCCACCGTTAGGAAACGGACGACTGTGCGCGTAACTGGCCGTCCGTTTCAAAGTGTCATTGGATGCCTCTTGCAAGCACACTGGTCAAGTGTCCGCCACGCCATAATAATTACTTTCACGAATCAGTGAGCGACTCATACATCCATAGGGCAACGCGCGAACCTACGTGGCTGTGGACGTTGATGGTGGTTTCTGCTGCTGCTGCTGCTGCTGCTGCTGCTGCAGCTGCTGCAGCTGAAGATTAACAGGTGTGAGCGCCTTGCGATTGGTTCGCCTTTGAAGCGCCCACTCGTTACTCAATTGACACCTTTTGACGCCCGGTGCCATTGTACGCTTTTGCCATGCAACATATGATGCGCTAAAAGGCTCCCACCGCATGACATTCATATAGTGCTTTATGTTTCAAATGCAACTATTACAAATCTCATGGCTCTGTGGTAGAACGCCTGCTATCGAACAAATTGTCTGACACAGCACTTCAGCTAACGTAGCCTCACTGATTCAGGCCCGTAAGAAGGGGTCCCTAGCCACCCGATACCCCCCGAAATTATGATGTGGGATGTTTGAATGAGGAAAAATAATAAAAAATAGGCGTTTTTCAAGATCTTCACAAAGTTCCACTCCCCCCCCCCCCCTTAAAAAATCATGGCTACGGGCCTAATGCTGGACATCGAAGTTCGACCACCCAGACGTTTTTGTCCACCACTATAATATTTTACAGCCGTTCTCGCCATGCTACTGCCTGGTTTTCTGCCTTTCTTCGTACTTTGCTACGGTGAATCAACGCTATCCCTTGACGCTGGCCTTCTTCTGGCTGCTGCTTGAAGGCACTATAGTACGTGGACGACGTGGTCAACCCGAGTAACTTATGTGCCAGCTTGCCCGCGAATCCACTAGTCGACATCCTCGAAACACGCCAAACAACATACATCACTGCGTACGACATGCAACACCATGATAAAGAGCTCTCGCCTACTGCTCTACTGCTCCCATGGCGACCTTTCCTGTGGGGCTTTTAGAGCATCTTTTTAATGGATACGTACACATCTGCTGTACATCTGCTGCGAGAAGTGGCAGCAGTCACGCAAGAGGCTACTTCATTCAATTCTTCTTAGTCCTCTGCCGTAAAGGCCACCCACATCGTGCCCTTCAGTAAGCTACTGCTATGCAGCCAACTACTTTGCTTCGGAGGCTTATTTTAACAGCCAAGTTCTTAGTCAAGGCTTGCCCGTGTATTGGCGCAGAGCTAATATCGTCGTTTAGCAATGTGGCGAGTGTGAAGCTTTCTAGCATAAGGGAGGGCTGCGCCGTGCTGCAAGAGGCTAGGGCGGAAGGTGTCACAGCTTGAATCAATAGTCAACCTCCTAAAAACGCACTCAGTGGGGCGTGGGTGAGGTTCAGTAGAGTATGAAAGATTACATCGATGTCTGTGTTGAGGAGTTTGCACTTTCGGAATGGCGAATAGTTCTTGCTTTCCCAATGGAGAGGCCACCTGACATGAGTGACAGCGAGAGCAGATGGAGAACGGGCACATCATTGCCAAAGTAGTCGCAATGTTCCCGCAAGATAGCCCGTCCACAGCTGAGCGTAAATGAACAGAAGACTTGAAAAACAGAAGTACGACATAAAGGGATAAAGGAATGGCGCCAGCCTTACTACTTCAACAATTTTTGGCCAAGTCGCGCTGACCGGATTCAAAAAATTTTTTCCAGATCAGCGGTTTCACTAGGATGGATACTGCTACGGACGAAAACAAGTGATAGAAAACACTCATTTTGACCCCAAAACTAGCGATGATTTGAAGCTGTCACACTTTCCTGACATAATGAAATTCATATATAATTGCAAATTCACTTGAATACGGCCTCTACACTGTCTTGCCTGGCATATTTCAAGTGGAGTGACATAAGTCCTGAAAGAAAAGCGATACAGTGTAGTAAGAAAAGCGATAATTACTCCACAGGAGCACCGGTACGGTTTTAGATTAGGGAAGTACTCTGGTGCGTCACTTTTTAATTTTTTTGACTTCATTGCGGTAATTTTATTTTGGCGCCTAATAAATAGGAGAAACTTTCAACCTCCACATAGGAAGTTAAGTAGTTAAAGAGAGCGCAGGCACTTACATTGAGATTAAGTCAAACGAAAACGTACTCTAATCCTGCCTTTGCCCCTCAAGTTTTATCATGACGCGTATTGAATAAACTCGTGTACAAAATGAGGCGGTTTAGTCACCTTAACCCACATGCCATGAGAATTTCTTTCGGTACGCGGCACCGGTACAGCAATGTCCAGCAAATGGGATTCCACTATGCGAAGGCCGGACATAAAATCACAACTTATGGCTGTCCAGAGGGCCCATGATGCAGCGGTAGACCTCGGCCTTACTGTCCCGTCGTGGGAGCGGCCCGCCGTGTGTTAGGGCACACGCCTTCGGACTTTCAAGAATAAAGTTTTCCCGAACCAAGCTAAACGCACGTACTTGCGCTAAACACTCAGCACAATAACGATATCGTTAACTGAATTAACCACGTCTCATTTTTCCTGCATTCTAAGTAACCATACTACTGCGTCTTTAACGTGAGTGGAGGAGGAGGAGGAGGAGGAGGAATAAATGAGGAAGGACAGGGAGGTTAGCCAGTTCTCAGACCGGCTGGCTACCCTGTACTGGGAAAGGGTGTAAAGGGGATAAAGGATGAGAGAAAAGAGACGTTGTAAAAAAAAGAGAGAGAAGGTCATCAGACGATCCACGACGCTGTTTACAGTCTGTCTCTAAGACCACTTGCCCGCAGAAAGCGCAACAACGCTCTCCGTGCCTTGCGTGCAGAGGACGGTCTCTCGGCCAGTGTCCTAATACCCTTTCTTCCGACAATTGGCGATGGTATATTGTATCTAAAGCTTTTGACAGTTCTTTTCTTGGCACGCTGAAGTGGGGACAAACGTGAGTGGATATCTGTTTTAAGCGTAATGGAGGTTCTTAACAAGCTACTGAAACACGTTACGGGAAGGCGGCATTACGGAACCAGCTGACGAGTGCGCATGCGCGAATATTGTACGCGTATACGCAAATACGCAAAGGAACCGTGACGTATTTCCGTAATGTACTCAGTAGCTTGCTAGAAATCTCTAACATCTTATTATCTGAAAGCGAAATGGCCGGAAACAAAGAACTTGACATGATAATATCTGAGCTTTTACTTGCCTAAGCCACTATGTGATTGAGAGGTACGCCATAGTAGGGAACTCTGAAATATTCATCTGTCTGGTGCTTTCTACCGCGCAATGATATTGCTGGACACGCGGGGCTCCAGCATATCGCCTCCATCTAACTGTGACCGTGGCTGCCAGGATCCAATTCATGACCTTCGGGTTAGCAGGTCAACACCGTCAACTCTACAGCCCCGTGGCGAACTATAAACTTGTCATGCGCTACCTCAATGTACCACTTTTGTTTTTCTAAAATCACTTTTGATAATTTAGCCTAGCCAACGAAAAAACTACTGACACAAGATTTTCTTTCAGCTTTGAAGACCCTCCATATCATCAAAATAATAATGAAGAAGCTAACAGTGGTTCTGGCACTGATATCGCAATCATTGATAGTTGTCTGTTATATCCGGTGCCCAGTTAGGAGTGTGCCTGGTAAGTAATTTGCTAGAACACAAGCTGCTTCTACAAAAGCGTGCTGATATTTCTAACCTATACAGAGTTATATTTCACGAGGCCTAGTGCAAATAAGCGCAGTTATGCGTCATACTATTTATCTTGTAACAAAAACTGCAATTCCGCTTATCATTTTTTTTATTCAGGGAGCTCATTTTCACAATGATATGTAACTGATGTCACATTTACGTTCACATGTAAGTCAGCGTGACGTCAACTAAGAACATTAATATGTTGTCAAACGGCGCGGCAGTATACGCTTTTCTAGAATTTATATCTATACCTTTTTTAAACAATCGCCTTTCCCCCCCAAGGAAACTAATAAAGTTTAGCACGTTTACTCACTGTTAATCTGTGACCCCCAGAAGCGCACGCTGACAGAGGGTTACGAAAAAAAACTCACTGTCTTTATTCGGGACTGCAGTGATTATTGCAATATTATAAATGTATTCGCTGCACTGACGCCACGTGCTGCTATTGCCATTCACCGAATACCGAACCACATAGGATACTCAATAGCATAAAAAGCCGAAATGGTCTTTCCTGTGCCACGTGACGTACATCGCAATAGCGAAAACACATTTTTGAAGATAATATCTTGGGCACTGTCTGGGGATCTTGTTTATTAATCGAGATGAGTCTTGGCAGGCGTCTATTAGCATCTGCATTTCTGATAGATTACATAAAGTATCGTGTATTTTTACTTACAAGATAATGCGACCATACAAGACACTGCGACATCAACGCGCTAAGTAGGATTCTTGGCTGAGCGGCGCTTCGCAGTACAATTCTGCCATGCCGCTACCTGAATAAAACCAAGATCAGTAGCGTTCTTTTACTTTTTTTGACAAAGTCTACCAGAGTGGACAGGCAACGAGGAAGAAACTGAATCTGATAATGTGAACTTCCTGGCTAGTTGACTGAGCATTTTGATCCAGAGAACAGCACCCCAAAAAAAAAAAAAGCATTGATTTGCCGTGGTCTCCTTTTCTCTCAATCTAACAAAGGTCCCACAGTTTTTGTGCTCGTGCCCCTTCGAAAGAAGGATGCTGTGACGTTGGGAGCGACACTTCGCACAACTGATTTTAGAGAAACAATGCCTCCGGGGCTTTCTCACTTTTGAAGGAAAATGCACGTGTTGGGGGGAACGCACCTCCACCGGTGTTGTGTACACCACTGAAGTGTTTGCGCTGTTCCGCTAGCTGACGTTGAATCTGCGAGAGCCGCGGCCGTTGGCGTCGCGAGCCTGGCATAGCCGACAAGGGCGAATATCCCCGCGCAACCAATTTAGTCGCTTGCGAAACGGGGCACCCCCGTAGGCTAACGAAGCTGGTGAGACGATCAGCAGTTTCCTTACACAAGTCGGCATGGTGATTACGGAGCTTCTTATTGAAATTTTTTTGTTGGACGTGGATTTCGTTCACGATAACCTGAAAGTATTTCGTAGTTTGTCTTCCCAGCCATACATACTTCTGTCTATGTTTAATTTCAAATATATTGTTACGTGGCGTGTGTGCTGCACTAGAAAAAGGAGGAAGAAGCGTAGGCACATGAACGAACAAGATCCCTCTTGCATCCTGCTGGTTTGTGTTTTTTTTAAATATGCTGTCTTCATTCTAGAACTTTTTTTTCATTTTTTTTGTAAGCAATAGTGCAGTTATCGTCCATATGAGACTACGTGTTCTCTTGGCCAATTCCACAGAGTGGGTATGAGCCATGCACTCTAGACTACAAACAAACAAACAAACAAACAAACAAACAACAAACAAACAAACAAACAAGCAAACAAACAAACAAACAAACAAACAAACAAAAACAGAACAAGCAAGCAAACAAACAAACCTAGTTCTGTACGGCTCGTCATCCAATCAACCACAAATGCCTATTGAGCACGTAACAGAGTGGTGGAGGTGCTGGGTAGGCGCAAGGGGGTTAATTGGTACATGGCATATTTTCATGCATACCGATGCAACATTTTTGTCGTTTTCCTTTGGTGTTGATATCAATTGATTCCACAGTGTTTCGACGTGATTAGCTTTTAAAACGTTCTTGAACAAATAATAGTTATTCTTCAAATCCCAACTTACCTCTTTTTATCGCAGCAGTTCATAAAGCAAGTACGCTTTTTTTACTGTGAGATGGTGTGAAAGATAACATATTCTTAGTCACCAATGCACATGCAGCCGTATCAAAGGACGGCATGCTGATACGTATTTTTGTAAAGAAAGTCCTTTATGCAGAATCAGTTATTTTCAAGTAACAAGAATGCAGGCCCAATAGTACAACGTCACGTTTGTCCGAAAGTTACCAGTCACGATGCTGGCGTCTGGTACCCCATTAGTCACTGCGGCTTATGTTTTCCTTCCGCCACTTGGGCTGGCTGGCTACGTGAGCATAGCTGCTTGGGGCATAACCATGTTGTACTCTGTATTGTTGGGGTTTAAGGTCCCAAAACCACCATACGTTTATGAGAGACGTCGTAGTGGAGGGCTCCGGAAATTTCCATCCCTTAACACGCACCTAAACATAACAACACGAGTCCCAGGCACGTTTACTTCCATCGAAAATGCAGCTGCCTCGACTGGGATTCAATTCCACGACCTACGAGTCAGCAGCAGAGTGCCTTAACTTCTAGACCACCATGGCTAGTTTCGGCATGACCATTATTTCAATTTTAACTTATCGCACCACTTGTTTCGTGATTACCAACAAAAAAAAAAAAATCCTGGCGATTTCGTTTTTAAATGTCGGGGCCCGCTTGAGAAAGGCTTCAGTATTTAGAAATTCAATATTGTTGCCATTACCACTTATTGACCATGCATTTTGTTTTAGGTTTTTTGTTTTTATCAGCACTTCCCAAGCAGTTTTGGATATCTCTACTAATTAACGTAATTTTGAATGTTTGCTTCACTTTTTACTTAATTTCTCTCGCACTCTCTTTCTAAGTACTGGAGATATTTACGTGCAGGAGCTGAGACAAAATGCTGTCAAGATAATTTGGTAATATAGAAAAATGCGCACTGGTGATACTGACACTTTACTCTGTGAGTCGATTTAGGCAGCAATTAAAGTGAGCGTGAGCGTCAAATTGGGCGTTTTGAGGAGTGGCTTAGACGATAGTTCAATAAACTTGCAAAGCTTGTAGTTACATTGTTTTTTTCCATTGAATATATGTCTTGTTTGTTTTACACTAACTTTGCTTTTGCCAATTGCTTTTAAGGCAAACGGAGGGGTTAGCTTAGCGATGACGAAAACCCTACACATGGTTTTTGTAGTGGCTGTATTTAAGCGCCTGTGCTGTCTTCTGGCTATATATATTTTTTAAGAATGACAGTAATGGCAAGTTTAACGTTCACAGGTGCGTGTTGGTACGAAGGAAGATTATATCCAGCTGGATCTCACGTGTCATCCGCTAATCCATGCGCTTTCATAACTTGTTCAGTCACTGGACAGACGCTGTCAATCACTGGGTAAGCAGTTCGCTTTTTTTAGAAATGCGTGACTGCACAAGAGCATCCTTAAAAAGCGCAAAAAAACAGGGACAAAGATATGCACGCAGGAGAAGACTTTTCTAACTCGTTTTATAAAGTGAAAACTTGGACTTCTTTTCCGAACAGAACTACTGCTCAAGGCACATGAACATCAGTGCAAATACATGTGCAATGGCCGAACAGACACACACTGACATAAAAACAGATAGTTGTGATATCCCTTTCACTGTCATGTAAATAGAACAATGATTTACACAGTCATCTTTGTGATGACAAATAAAAATCCTGCTATTTTCATTTCAATGAAAACCCTAGACATTTATTTATGAAGGCAAGGCTCATTTTTCAAATACATTGACAATTGTCTGCGCTATTAGCACGTTGTTTTATTATTATTTAATAATCGTCTCTGTTCCTTTATAAAGCATTGCCATAGCATAGTTGGTAAATAAGTTGGAGAAGCTCGCGTTATAAGCCACGCAAAACTTTAAGAAACAAAACTGGACGATCTGAACATTTATCCGCTTGCTTATGACGTTTCGTAGGCCTTGGGTAGGCGATATGGGTCGTTTCTAAACCGCTGCGATGCTTTTCTGAAATCATTGCGAATAAAGTTTTCCTTCCTTCCTTCCTTCCGTCCTTCCTTCCTTCCGTCCTTCCTTCCTACCTTCCTTCCTACCTTCCTTCCTTCCTTCCTTCCTTCCTTCCTTCCTTCCTTCCTTCCTTCCTTCCTTCCTTCCTTCCTTCCTTCCTTCCTTCCTTCCTTCCTTCCTTCCTTCCTTCCTTCCTTCCTTACTTTACTTACTTTACTTTACTTTACTTCCTTCCTTCCTTCCTTCCTTCCTTCCTTCCTTCGCTCAGAAATTTTCTCGCAGAAGCCATTGTCTTTCCCGTTCATATGTATTCTATCGTTATACGTAGTGGGTGTCTTCTGTTCACCGACGCCGCTTCACAGCTATTTGTTGTGTTGCCCTCTTGCTTTTTAGTCGAAGTGTGTAGCGGGACTTATCGAATATCTGTGGCCCATACCTGTGTATGATGATAATAGATTTCTGAAATCTTGCAAAAAATTTCTGCTGACGTAGTGCTGGGCTAGCAGTTTGCCCTCTTCAATTTTGGTGGACTAGTGATGAGTCCTAGAAATTTTTACCAAGCTTCTTTCGTGCATACCCTTCCATGATGATGATAACGACAATATGGCAAAATACCAACAATTTATAGTTGTCTGTCTCATACACAGTAGATGGACGGAATCGAAAAGCACGTTGGGTGCAGAATTTTGGAAGGGTAGCTCCTTGGGTAAGTTTGTAAAGAATAAGCGTAGCATATACTAACATACTACATAAAAGAATGACAATATTGCCACAGGCATGGAACGAGGTTTAGCCATGCCAATGCGAGTATGTGCCATGGTGTGAAAGAAGAAGAGGACGGTTGGTGTGCTCGTGCTCTAACTTTCGGTTCGGCTCGACGTCCAGTGATGCTCCTGTGAACAGACGTTGTGGTCGTTCTGTAATCACGTGACAATGTTGCGTGATAAATGGCTAATCCCACAGCGTGGGTGAGCGCCACAGATTCAAGGACTTGACTCAGACAGTCAGCAGCGGTGGTGGAGGTGGCGGAAGCAAAATCACCACAAAGATCAACTCTTGCTTTGAGCTCACAAGAGCTTAGTGTAAAAGTTACAAAAATGCATACTTAAGCTGTTCCCAAATGACCGAATCGAACATCAAATGTCGTCGCCCAATGACCCACGTCGCACTTTCACGTGGCACATAAGCACTCGTTTTTTTTTTTTGAGGCTCTTTTCGCAGTTATATGTGCCACCTTCTCAGGCATGAATTTATCGTAAACAACTTTAAGCGCTGCTTTGAAGTCGTTAAGAATGCGGCAGCTTGCGACGTCCACGCTCTGAGTATACCCATGTCGAACGCAACTCTACTAAAATATTAAGTGCATGACTGACCCTGTGCCTGTAGGTGTTCTGAAAAGCATCACAAAAGGCTTCTGTTGCGTCTGCAACAGTAACCTCATCGCCGGGATGTCGAAGTGAAACGTGTCAAGGGTAAAAGAAAAACTGAAGGGTTTTTGGGCTCTGCTGAATTTGTGAAAAACGCTTTCGCTAAAAGGCTCATCTCTGAGTCTTCAGTGCAGGACTTTTCTTTCTAGCCACGCAAACATCTAACCCGTGAAAAAAAAAACGATTTACTGACATGCAGGTGTCCGTCAGGGCCTGGAGCACATCAGCATCCCCCCGGTGCTGCTGGGGTACCTTTATTATTGTTCCCGGACTGTTGTTCAAGATGCCCGAGGATTCCATGAATCGACCTTACGAACAGCAAACTGCTCGTTGTGAGGTTGACTGTTACTACGTTCTACAAATCTGCATCATAAGTCACTAAAAATATGCAGAAATACATCATTTATTGCGAAGTTATAAATACAACAACTTTTTGACAGCCCGGATACGTAACTGTCCCCCCTTTGTGCCTCAATAATGATGCAATTTTGAAACATTCTACGAGTCTTGATATGACAAGAGGTGAGCACTCGGTACTTAAAATGAGTAGACAGTTTATCCCTGAAGCGGCACTTATCGCACAAGCGATACTACAGAATTTGAAGAAATAAAGGGCAATTTATTGTGTAGTTGTCCAGGCAGAATAAAGAGACCATCAAATGACTAATGTTGACGAGACAGCAGGCGACGCTTTTTACATTCAATGATTCTAAGGGAAGCTCTCTGAAAACAACAGTTGAAAATCGGTGGAGCAAATAAATGTCACACTCAATCTGAAAAGAGCAAACCGAAAGAAAACAACCATAGTGATTTTGGATGGCTCCCCTTCAAGCAAGTTTATGAGTAGTTTGTGTTTATAGTGATATGCTCCTGAACTATATATTTTTATTAACGTCTGCTGTTAGATCTTAGGTGCTCGTACAGAGTCATGAGTTCTCTGTCACAGCTTTCTTACGGTGTCTGATTCTTATTTGTATCTAGCAAAACATAACGTATCACTATACTCGGCGACAGCTTTTCTTGACAGCACTGTGGAAGCTATAGAGCCGAACCGCCTGCATGCGCGCGCGCCAGAAAATAGTACCTATTTTATTTTCTGATTCTAATAGCTACTTGGCCCGAATAAATAAAACTTTCTTCATTATAAGGATAGAACAAGTATGGGACGCTGTTCATGGAAAAGAAGTTATCGTGCGCCCTAGTTTTTTTTCTTTTTTATTTCTTGGACGGCACCACGTTTTCCGCACGCCGGCTGCGTCTGCTGCTTGCTCTTGCAGCGGCGAGCAAAGCATCGGCCGTGGAAAAGCTGCTCATCGTTGGGACGCGCCGTCTTTTATACATCACGCATAGAACTTTTCAGCCTTATCACTGGTGGCCGCGCAAGCTCTGAAATAAGCTTCACTGTTCGCGTCTTGCGCGCAATCTTAACAATGATCTACAACAATTGTGAGGCTTCTCGAACACTGAGGCGCAGTCTGCACTGATCATTGCTGACAGCCTTTGAGGGCGTAAACCAAATACAGCAAAACTGAAACAAGACAGGCCCGTGGCCGGATCGTGCCGCAACCGGCCTTCCATTTCGCCTGTACCAGGGCTCAATACCGTAAACGTTAACATTCGATCACGTGTGGCGCGTACCCGTATATACTGGGCTGAACACGGAACCTAAACTTCACTGTCATAAAGGCTGAATAATGCTGACAAAACGTTCTGAACAACGAAAAATTTTATATGTACCAGTACATAAACAACACAGTAACTAGCTGCATGTATGCACTCTCATCAAAGTTTAACTCTGACGTTCCCATTTTGCATGCATACATTTTGCTAAACACACTAGCGCAGCGAGCAAGCGAAAACCGAAACTGGAACCGAAATCGGCTGCAAGCTGCCGGACTACTTGCGTAGTAACACAAATGTGCGGAGGCCCCGCCTCCGTAGCCTTCGCTCCAATGTCAAGAAAAGCTGTCGCCGAGTATAATACTGTTCTCTCATTACCTTCAGCGACGGACTCTGAAGAAGTAAACACATATACTCGAAAAATTTGCTTTCATAATATATATGGAAAGCATTTTCGATTTTCGAGAATTTTCTTCATACCGTCATTGCGGTATTTATGTGCATGTTTCAATATAAAAAAAAACACTGTAACTTCTCAGGCAGCTGCGGCATCTATGAAGAGGTATGCACCCACACATATTTCAGAAAGTCTACATGCAGAGACTGGAAATGTACGAAAAAGCAAAAAAAAAAAACAAAACAAATTGAAATACTGGCTCCCCAAACCGATTCCTTGTCCAATGTGAATGGCTTGTATGTTCAGTTCAGTTTATTAGGGGCGAAGCTGCTTATGGTGTGGGTCTGTCGCTCCTCCGTATGTATGTATGTATGTATGTATGTATGTATGTAGTATGTATGTATGTAGGTATGTATGTATGTATGTATGTATGTATGTATGTATGTATGTATGTATGTATGTATTATGTATGTATGTATGTATGTATGTATGTATGTATGTATGTATGTATGTGTATGTATGTATGTATGTATGTAGATGTATGTATGTATGTATGTATGTATGTATGTATGTATGTATGTATGTATGTATGTATGTATGTATGTATGTATGTATGTATGTATGTATGTATGTATGTATGTATGTATGTATGTATGTATGTAGGTGGTGGTGGTGGTGTTGTAGCAGGCGGGGTTAGCCTGGCCTGCATGGCCGGCAATTGTTCCGCCTGAGCATCTCCTGAATATAGAAAATGTCACCACGTGTCAGGACAGCCAGTGTCTCGCAGGAAAGACTAACAAAATTCGTTGCATGTTCCTCCTAGTTGCCGCGGGTCCTTCAGGAAAGATGATGTCATCAACTGTCCGGTGCCTATGACAGCCTTTTCGCAAGGTGCGGATCATCGCTGCTCTTTGCACATCAAACTGTGGGCAAAGCCAAATCAAATGTTCAATATCCCCGATGTCACCACAGAAGGCACAGAATGGGGAAGAGTATCTCCCAGTCTTGAATGACCAGGCCGGGGTGTATGCGGAGCCGGTTCTAATGCGGTACAACAGCGTGGATTCTTCACGAGAAAGTCCATGAATTACACATGCTTGGTGTGGAAACTTGTAGATCGCCTTGAAATGATTGCGTATCACATCTTTGTTGTTCTGGTAAGCCTTGGGAATTCTTACTTTTGGAAACGATGTACGTGCTTCGCAAGCAAGGGCATCAGCCTTTTCATTGCCCTCAATGCCAACGTGGGATGGGATCCACTGGAACTTTACATTAAAACTCTTGCCATTTAGGTGTTTGATTAGTGCCAGAGATTGCCTGGTGAACTTTTCTTGAGGTAGGCCACGATGCAGTCTTTGTATCACCGATTTAGAGTCTGTCAGCACTACAACATCTCGTGCAGAAAAGGATTGCAGTTTTCGCAAAGCCGCCGTAATTGCAGCGCTTTCTACCGTTGTAGACGAAACTACGCGATACAGGCGGCCCGACCATGACACGCCCAGGCTGGGTATGCAGAAAGCCGCTGCGCAGCTATCCGTCTGTGTGCACACTGATCCGTCGGTGTACACTTGTAGGTGGTCGCGGTACATGGTGCTGAAGTGGTCCAGCGCAAGAAATTTTGCTTCCGCGGCTGGAATGGTGCGCTTCGCTGGTAGATTGGGTACGCTGAAGTTGCACGCAACATCCACAAAAGACCATGGCGGGTTCATAGGACACCGTTTAGGCAGTTTCAAGCCTGAATAATGAAATGTGTTTAGTGCCGCGTTGAAATGTGAGCCAGTTCTTGCTCTTAGCCGCCGGAGAAGTGCCATGCCTGCGAAGGACTCGCCCAGTCTTGACAGCTGCGTCAATAAGGCCTGAGACGCCAAAAGGCGGAGCGGAAGAGACTCGGCTTCATTGGTGACCTTCGTGTTTGAAGCCGCCTGAGGGACTCCCATCGCCAAGCGAAGACCCCTTCTGTGCACTGCCTCTAGGCGTTCGAACTGGCTTGGTGATGGTGATATCAGGGGCAGCTGATAAAGAATGCGGCTTGTTATAAGCGCATCATTCAATTTAAGCATGGACATAGGATTGTTGCCCCAACGAACCCCTGCCATGTGACGAAGAGCGTTGATCCTTTGCACTGATGCAATGACTATACCATCAACTGCACGTCGCCATAATAGCTTGTTGTCGATGGTAATGCCCAGGAAACAGACACTTGTTGCACAACGAATTGAGTGGCCTCGAATATTCAGCGACAGACGTGTTGACTCCCGTCGCGCTCCCGGGAAGAGCATGAAGGCCGATTTTTCCGCTGATAAAGATAGGCCAAGTGTCAACAAGTGACGCTCAATGATTGAAATAGCGCTCTGTGCTATCCGGACCAAACGTTTGTGCTGGTATCCTGAGATCCAAATGCAGATGTCATCGGCGTAGATGGATATTTTAACTGCTTTCAGAGCTAAGTGCAGAGTGTCGGGAAGGCTGGCCATGGCAGCGTTAAAAAGCAAGGGAGATAGAACACTTCTTTGTGGGACGCCGTGGAAAACGCGTCTCTCTTCGCTCATTACATTTCCAAGCTTAACACGGACACAACGGTCTCTAAGAAATTCATGTATGAACCGAAGAGCATTTCCCGACACACCCATGGCTTGGAGCCCGTTCACGATGCCTGCCTGAAGCACACAATCATATGCCTTGGCAACGTCCATGAAGACGGCAAGTGTCGAGAGTCCGCTGACGTGGTGGTGCTTGATGTGGCTTAATAGGTCCAAAACACTGTCCTGGGCACTCAGTCGTGGGCGAAATCCGGTCATACACGATGGCCATCGTCTTCCTTGTTCAAGGTACCAAGTTAATCTTGTACATATTAATCTTTCCATCAGCTTAGATACGCATGATGTAAGAGATACCGGTCGATATGACGCGAGGCTCGCAGGATACTTTCCGGACTTTAAGACTGGCACCACCCAAGCTGTCTTCCAAACAAATGGGATCTCTCCCGTGCTCCAGACATGATTAAATATGTCCAAAAGGGCCCTTTTTTGCTCATATGGTAGATTTGTCAGCATTTGATTGCTGATCAAATCGGGACGCACGGCACAGCGTCTTCTTAATTTGCTAAGTGCCATATCCAGCTCTCGGAAGGTGAATGGCGTATCCATCGTGTGAAAAAACTGGGTTGACAGAGGAATCGCCGCTCCTGCTGATCTACCAGCTATGTACACGTCTGCGAAATCCTCTGCAAGGGTTTGCAAATCTATCCCTTGTTTCAAAGCGAGTGCTTCGAATGGCCTGTGTGTTCGGATTTTCCCAGAAAGA